CCTTCATTTTGGCGTTTTAAAAGTTGTCTCGGCTTCCTATAAATTAATATTGATGTTTTGGTTTAAATTAATATTTCAATTTTATATAGGTTCTGATCTGTGGAAGACTAGAGTAAAACGTTTGTTATAACAGTAACACACTTGCTTATTAATAGACTTTATTAATAAAGCGTGTAGGGTTGTCACTAATGTTTATACAGTATTGTACATTTTTTTTTCAATATTCTTAGTAACATTTTTACAAAAATAAAACATGGCAAAATATTTTCAATCTTTTTATTGATTATTTATTATGGAATAATGCTATGGCGTGTTAACAAATATGTAGATAAGCCTTCACCGGGATTCCTTTGGTTAGCATTTTATCTTCATAGTTCACTAAATCATTAAATCGTTTATAAAATATCATCAATCATCGTTATTATCATAGAATTATTACGCATAGAATACTAGTACGCGTACCGAAAGTGAAGCAAGTAAAACTAACGCGTAACCGCGTAAGTTGACTCGGTGACGCGTCTGTGCGCAACGTCACGTCTTACGGAGAAGAGCTCGCGAAAAATTGTAAAATATTGTCACAACGGCGATGATAAACATAAAAGAAGTTTAATTTAAGTTTATACATTTAATTCATTATAAGTACGTAAAACTAAAAAAATATTTACCTAAGCTCTCATAATACAAATGTTGCTAGTTGTGGGGAAAAAATCATAATTTTCTTTTAAAAATATTTATTTTCTATATATATAAATATTACAACTAAAAAAGGGCAGATTTATAATAGTAATACCTCACAAGCTATTCGGGCGTCCAAACTAGTTTATGTCGTATCACTACGCTTGAGAGTTCATGTTATGAACATTTATTAGAGGCCCTTCACTGTGTAGGAAGCGCGCGGTAGTACGTGCGATAGACGTAACACTACATTACGTCCAGCGAATTTTTTTTCAGACTTTATTATAGTAATTCGGTATAAGCTAGCCTGTACGCCCGACCTACTTGCGAGATATTGCTATTGGTTTAAGATCGCATTCGAGTTTTGTTTTTCTCGATTGTAAATCTGCCATTTTTACATCCTAATAATTTTATTTTAATAAATCTATTCTACTACTAAGGCAAAATCATTTTACTTCGGGAAAACAACCATTAAAATTTCAGCGTGTGTATTGGATCAATCTGTGTGTATATCCTTTCAAATAAAAAAATCTAAATCTGTTTAGAACTTGTAGAATTCTGAGGTAAAAAAACATTAAAAAATACACCGAATTGATAACCTCCTCCCTTTTTGAAATCGGTTAAAATTAAACATTACACGATGTGCTTATTGTATTCGAGCAAATTAATTGTGTTTAATAATATTCTTAAATTTTATTACGTCTGCATTTTTTACCATTAATATATCTATAATAAAGTTATATTAGTAACATCATTATCGTGTTTATTTTATTCCATTTTATATTCTCATAAAATATTTCTACTAAATAATCTTCGTACGTAATACGTAATCTTTATTATATCGATTTTTTAAAATTAATCAAAAAATAGTGATTTGCACAATTTGATTGCAAACGCCAGAAACTGGTATCACTGAATGGCGTGTATGTGTGCGTGTGACGAGCGTAGGCACATTCGACTCGCGCCCACTAACATAATGACTTTGCATCATTTTAACGCTCGTGTTTTGTACTGGACTGCGTTTCTTTGCGTAATAATTCTATGGTTATTATAGTATAGACTATCACAATTTCATTTTCTATAGTATAGGGTGACAAACGAGCACACAGTCCACCTGATGGTAAGTGGTTGCTGTGGCCCATAAACATCTACATCTAACCTCGTTTGCGAATCAAAATGCAGATGCGTTGTCACCCGTGAGGACTAAGATGGAATGCCTCTTTTCCAGTAAAAAGGGTCTCCGGTTCTCTAAACTCGCCATACGAAATACAGCAGTGTTAAGCTGCTATTTTACGCTGGTATTCTGTGAGAGCGTGGTACCTCCCCGGTCGAGCGGACCCATTCGTGCTACAACTATTTTACTGGAAAAGAGGCATTCCATCTTAGTCCTCACGGGTGACGACACATCTGCATTTTGATTCTTTATTGAGCATAAATGTAGATGTCTATGGGCCGCAGCAACCACTTACCACCACGTGGACTGTGTGCTCGTTTGTCACCCTATCCTTTAAAAAAAAAACTATACTACTAATATAGCTGCAGCATGACTCTACCACGTTTAAAATTGTTCATTGATAAACATAGGCCTCCCCATAAATTCCATTACTATAACTTACTTGCTTTCATAAAAATATAGACTTATGGTTAATTGGCATCAAAATTTTGTAAACAAAATTTTATTGCAGTCAATCGAACTATATAAAAAAATGATAACCGAAGTGATAATATACTAAAGAAATTATTTTATAAGTATATCAGGAATTGTATCGTATTCAGTTTGTTTTCCCTCTACTTTACTATTCACAGAAGAAATATTTTCTGTGATGAATGCAAAACGGTGAACTGACAAAAGAAGACCATCAATTAAGTTGATCAAAACGAACTACTTAGCAAGTAGTTCGTTTTTTTCGCTAATGCTTTAAAGCATTTCAAAATGGTGCAATATCGATTAATACTGCAAAAAAAAAGTAAAACTTATATACACCTTTTTAAAACTATAATACTAAATTTCTTTCACAAATACTGTCTTTTATCCTCAGTTTATAAATATTTTATTTTATCAATATAACGGTGGCAACCCTAAATGTAGTGTCCTGATTAGTTCTACCAAAACAATTTAATATGGAGAAACGCGCCGTAAGCCATGTGATCTTATGCGTGGTAGAGTCACGCTCCGTCCGGTTATAATTATATATATATAAATGTGACCGTCTCGGTAGTTTTAAAGTGATTGATATATGAAATGAAAGTTAATTTTTTATAGAATCTAATATTGATATTGGCGTTGAGTTTAATATTTTGAATCAAAGCAATATGATAAAATAAAAATTACTGGATTATTGTGGTAAATTTCTTAAGAGATCTTTATATGTAGTAAAATTATTCTACTGACTTATTGGACCATTATTTTATTTAAAAGGCAAAATGTAATGTACTATAACAAAGTTATTGTTGTACTTTAAAATACGATTAGACAAAGGCACAGACATAAAACTATAAAATCACAATTATATTTTCTAAATTATCGTCTAATGCTAGCAAACTGTTTGAGAGTTATTAAAGTGAAAAGTCAAGGTTTATGAAAAATAATACTAAGTAAATAAGAGTATAATCATTAATCATATTTAATTTATTTTATATTAATAAAATCACACAGTCACCACTGTAGGCGTAAAAATATTTTAATTTTAATAAATGTCACTAATTGTTATGAGATATTTTCTTCATTCAATCTTCATTGCATCGTAGTAGTCTTCAGGAGTGACAACGCATCTGCATTGTAGATGTCTATGGGCTACAGCATCTAATACTTACCATCAGATGAACTGTGTGCTCGTTTGTCATCCCCATTCTATAAAAAAATCTGAGAAATAGAGTGATTAAGAATATGAGAGTTAGAATTTGGGACATTCCTGAATACTTAAAATGTCTTTTACTCTTACTTAGTATTATAAGTTAAAAAGTGTACCGTTTCACCGTTAGTAACGGCTTATCGGTTCTTGGTCAACGGTTTGGGGCATAGCTTTTCACTGCATGAATTACCTATTTTGACTGTTTAATGCACGTTTCAATGACATTTCAAAAATAATCCTCATACATTTTTAGTCGAGGCAAAGAATCATTTAATAAAGAATATAGCATATTTTAGTCTTAAAGATATGTTTGTCTTAAGCTCTTAAGAAGTCAATAGGTAATGTACAATCAAGAGGACGAGCCCCGGCTTCGCATAGGTGCTATTTACCTATGTGACCTTACTAGACCACAAATTAACATTTTTGCATGTATTACGTACGAAAACTTTCCTTAAGAAATTCCTTAATTGATGAATATCTATGATATACACTTGGGAGCAAATAAATCGAGGGAGCAAATAAATCGAGCCACTTCCTTTTTTTCACGTATAATGGGTAATATATTTGGTAATATGGAACGTATGAATTCGAACCATATATCGCCTAAAAGTTTATTGAATAACCTTTACAATGAGGGTAAATTATTGAATAATAACCTTATTGAATGATAAATTATTTACTCGGAAAGAAAAATGGAAATTTTGATAGAAAATTTTGTGGGGTTGAAACAGTCCAGAAAAACAATGAAAAACAAAATTATCGTAAAATACTGTCTCCTATATGCTAATTCTTAAGAAATGGGATTACAATCCGCCCTTCTCCCTCCCCTGATGCATTCTTGCAGTCTTTTAGTCATGGATCTGATCAGCGTTACGATGACATACTGTGGTATGTTCTCCCACTCTTCCAGCACAGCGACTTTATTAATGGATGAAACAGTTCCCCTGTTTCATCACCCTGACTCGGACCCTCCGTTTTAACTCGTCCCATAGGTGTTCAATTGGGTTCAAATCTGGGTTTCGTGCTGGCTTCACCATTTTGTTGAATCCCGATCGCCGATAAGTACTCTGTAACGATCTGCGCGGTACGAGGTCTCGCATTGTCATGAATAAACAACATATTTTCTCCGATAAAACCAGCATACGGCATTACGTGGTCTTCGAAAATGTCACTTATGTATCAAAAAGTTATGTATGAAGAAACTGTGGTTGTGTACTTGTTTGTATATTTTTAAGTGTGTTGTTTATGTATGTAAAATTATCCTACTTATTTTCATAGATTGCCTTGAATGTGCTGTAATGTAGAACATACTCGTAATACCTGTACTTTAGCAATATTTTCTTGGTTACAGGTAAACATTTGGGGAAAGAAACGAGCATATAGAACCGTTTTAATGCACATTGTGACATAATCGTGTGTTAACAATAGACTTGTTATGGGGTATACTGTGAAATAGTGTAAATTGCAAGCGAAATGTGGAGGACGGTTGTGGTGTTGGCGCTGGCGGCGACAGTTAGCGCACTGCTCGACGGTCCGAACGTGTGCACAAGGCAGGAGGCGTAAGTGTGCATTATGCTTTATTTTATTATATGAATTGTTGATTTTGAAGGTTTTGTATTATTCGCTGATAGAAATTAACTGTCTTGTAACATATTTGTCACAGTTACTTTTAGGGAAATACTCAAACTAACATTTTTAGGGTTCCGTACCTCAAAAGGAAAAAACGGAACACTTATAGGATCACTTTGTTGTCCGTCTGTCTGTCTGTCTGTCAAGACCCTTTTTCTCAGGAACGCGTGGAGGTATCAAGCTGAAATTCATATCAAATACTCAAGTCTACTGTCCCTTGAAGTTGTGAAAAAATCAAATTTATTTTTCAAATTTAGTTTATGCCGCAAGGGAATCAAAACCTACAGGGTACTTCCCGTGAACTCAGAATCTTAAAATTTGGTACGAAGCAACGTATTATAGCACAGATAAAGGAAAAATTGCGAAACGCATACATTTTTAGTTACATCATATAATAAAAATATTTTTAATAATTTTAACCTACGGATTTGTTCGGAACCCTCGGTGCGCGAGTCCGACTCGCACTTGGCCGGTTTTTTTAAGTAAGTAATTGATTCATATCTGTGTTTATGATATTAATTTTTGCGATAAGGATTGACACAAGATGAGTACGCGTGTCAGTAAGTAAAGTGATATCATTATCAAGCATGTTTTATACTTGACATAATACGCAACTATTGAAATATTTTAAGAACTGTATACATAGTATGTTGTGTACAATATTTTTGAGCTCGCACTATTATCGTTACTAATAATGAATAAGGTTTATACAAAATGCGCTGTACCTTTTTTTTTTTTTTTTTGCGGATGGAAAATCATCTAATGACGCCTTTCGCTGTGGGTGGAGCGGAAGGGAGTGTCAGACTTTTACTGACTAAAAACCATCCGTGTTCCTTCAGTGCCCTTACGTTCCGGAGCCGCGGTATCTCTTTCGAACAGCCCGCAGCCCCGGCAGGCGTCGGCCCTTGCGGGCCCGAATGCGCTGTACCCTACTGTTGTGGTATTGCTTCAATTGCCCTCAAAGAATTTTTTTAAAGGATATAGCTTGTAATAATATTATATGTGATTATTATGAGAATTATTATTATTATTTTCTGGCATTTCCCATTGCTGTCTCTTACGACACAGACCATAGGAAGAAATGAGTGAGATGGGTTCTTCTAGTGATGCAACGAATACGAATACGAATATTCGTATTCGCCGAATAGTAGACATTTACCCAGTATTCGTATTCGGCGAATACTGATCACGATTGTTTAAAAACGAATATTTTTGTACGCAACTCTAATTACTGGCGGACTTGGATAACGCGTGTCGTCGGCGCGTAAAAAATACGACGTGTTTTGGCCCTTAGCCTCAACGACGGGGGACTCAAAAATATTTTTCACAAGAAATCGCCTAAAACCAGAAAATCTACAAATTTTATGTTTTTTAAATAAAAATTTACCTATTGTAAATTTTAATTATTAGAACAATAGAATATCATCAAATAAATTAGTTTTTTCTTACCATGGCGAGATATTCGTATTCGTATTCGCCGAATAGTAGGTTTGATATATTTTTTTTTTTAATTTATTTAAAGAGGACCACAAACAAGTTTACAATATATCTTACGCTAAGGCTTTCTATTACAATTTATTACTTATCATAAACTCAACAACGATGGTCACATATAGAGTATAAGACATATAATAATAATGTGAGGGACCAAATTTTTGTAAAAATAAAGTTCCTTAATTTCTAAAATATTGTTTAACATGTATTAGAGGTTAAAGTTTTGTGTGTTTGTGAGTTAGGATGTGTGTGCGCGTATATTTGTGTGTCTGTGCATGTACATATATAGTCATTGGTTAGATAATTTATAGTTAGTGTTAGTAGTTAATGTGTTCAAGACTTTAAAAGAGACATTAAGTGTTTAACAGCAAGTTAACTATCTGTCTATTGTATGATATGGTACTGCAAGAAAATAAATCTACTGAATTAAAATTTTTGTTGTATGTGTCAACCATACGATGAAGGGGCGATCGGATACCGGCGTTTGTCCGAGATCTTGACACAGCAAAGAGTGAGTGAGGACGCAAAGAACGCATACGTGCGCGAGGTGGTACGGAGTAACTAATACGATTAATTATATCTGTGCAATCATACTTGTTATTGCACAGATCATAAAGTAATCTTGCCTCAAGTTGAGTGCGTCTAGACCTTAAGTCTAAGAGTTTATATTTTGTTAAAAGGAGCACATACGATAAACGCTTACGATGATATTTGTAATTCACGCGACGCAAGAACTTTTTTTGTACCATTTCAATGCTATGATTATATTTTTTATAAAGTGGGTTCTATACAGGTACTCCGTACTCCAATTGAGGCCTGACCAAAGATTTAAAAAGATAGATTAAAGTGGTGGGGTTTCTAAATTGAGTAGAAGAACGCATAACAAATCCGTACATTTTAAAAGCTTTACCAATTATGTTTTGTATATGAATATCAAAATGTAGTTTGCTATCAAAAGTCACACCCAAATCCCTTATATTATTCACCCTTACAATATCTGTACCTTTAAGAGAATAGTTAAAGTAGCTTATATTCCGTTTTTTTGTGAAAGTGATTACTTTACATTTATTTAAATTGAGTCGTAAATTATTAATAGCACAGTAATTGTTAAATCTGTCAAGGTCTTCTTGAAGCAAATAGTGATCCTCTATCCTGTCAATGCATTGATATATTTTAAGATCATCAGCATATAAAAGGAACCGACTATTTTTAAAACAGTCTTTAACATCATTTATGAAGATCACAAACAAGAGAGGACCCAGAATGGATCCCTGTGGGACGCCAGAAGTGACATTAGCAACATCGGACTCTGAACCTTTAATAACAACCCTCTGCGTTCTATTAGAGACATACGATTTAAACCACCGCCAGAGATTACCACGTATACCATTGAAAGCAATCTTCTCCAATAGTATTTTATGATCAACAGTGTCAAATGCTTTCCGGAAATCAGTATAAACACTGTCAGTTTGTGTATTGGTGTCAAGCGCGTTAAATAAATCTGATGTGTAAGTGATAAGATTAGTTATTGTAGATCGCCGTTTGACAAAACCGTGTTGTTCATCTAAGATAACATTGTGCAAGAGGGGGTAAATAGCATCATGCACCAAACGCTCAAAGACTTTAGAAAGAATGGGCAGTATTGATATTGGTCGATAATTCATAACGTCACTTTTTGATCCATCCTTGAAAACTGGGACTATTCTTGCACTTTTCCAAATGTCAGGAAATATTCCATCGGATAAGCATTTATTGTAAAGGTAGCATAAAGGAAGATCGACTATCGATATTCGTATTCGTATTGGTAAAAGTAGTATTCGTTGCATCACTAGTTCTTACTCGCCGAGCAGCCGATGCCGTATATGGGCGACGCGACGCCGTGGACCCGTGGACCATGTGATTAAAAAAAAAGAAATTTTTCAAAATGTCTGAACGGTTTAAAAAATGCCCAATATGAGAGGGCAATATGACAATAACTAAGTATTGAAAAAAATTAAATCGTCCGAGCTTTAGGAGAAATGTGAAAATGTCTTTCACCGATTGGGCAGAATAATAAAAAAGTGCGAGTCGGATTCGCGCATGTGAAGGGTTCCGTACAATCGTAAAAGACGTTTCTAGTAGGGTAGCCCCCCTTAATTTTTAATTTATTTTTATTATTTTTTGTTATAGCGGCTACAGAAATATACATTCTGTGAAAATTTCTACTGTCTATCTATTATGGATAATGAGATATAGCCCGCTGACAGACAGACGGACGGACAGTGGAGGCTTAGTAATATAGGGTTACCTTTTGGGTGCGGAACCCTAAAAAGAATAAAAGACTAACCAATTACTGTACATACTTTATTAAATAAAATGGGAAGCAGCAATTTAAATAAATAATGTCGTTTTTCAGTATATACGGAAACACGTACAGTAGGTTTATACATTGCAATGGATAATGACAGTTCCAAGTACCACGACACACAAAGATTCTCCTTTGTTCTACATTTTATATGAATGGACGCCCTGTTTAGACCTAGGTCTAGACATTATGTCCTAAGATAGGTCTTAAGATGAACATGGACAAAACAAAGATCATGTTTAATGTCCATGTCACACCTATGCCGGTAGTTGTTGGGAACACTAAGCTCGAAGTTGTTGACGAGTATGTTTACCTGGGACAAATAGTCCGACTAGGTAAGTCCAACTTCGACCGAGAGGTCAATCGACGGATTCAACTCGGTTGGGCAGCGTTCGGGAAATTACGGCACATCTTCTCGTCAGGTATACCTCAAAACTTGAAAACGAGACTGTACACCCAGTGCGTGTTGCCAGTGATGACATACGGAACTGAGACGTGGTCCTTCACTGCTGGCCGGACCTAACAAAGCGGTCGCTGATTGTACTAATATATATAGTAAAACATAATGAATTCAATTATATTTGTTGTAGGTATATTTTATTATCTTTGGGTGCAAGAAGTTTTATTCGTAATTATGTGTTACAGTTACAGTAGTCACGTTATTTGACGTGTACGATGAATCATATGCTTGTGAAGTTGTGAATGAAAGCTTACTCGTAATATTATGTTAGTATCAGTTTTATTTAGCCTGCATCGAATATTATGGAGTTTGGGAAAGAAAATTATAAATGCCGTTGTTATCGAAAACATTTACAAAACGGATTTTCGCCCTTAAAAGAACTCGAATTTAAAAAAAATCAAGTTACGCCTTTCAGTCGTTCTTTTAATGTTAAGTAAAGCTTAGGTTCTTAAGAAACATATTTTAGTTTTTACATCATATAACATCAAAATAAAAATAAATTATTAAATTTACAATACCTAATGTAAAATATTCGAAAACCAATGTGCTCTTAAATGGAGAGGAGTTGAGTCTTGTGGATACCACTGTTTTTCTTGGTATTACTATTGACGCGAAACTTCAATGGGGTCCCC